ACCCACACCCTCCCCCGCACCACACTCCCATCGCCCTCCCCCCTCTAGACCAGGTCCCTGCCCCCTAGCTTCCAAGCACACTCTTTGCAGAGATCTTCATCTCCCCCCGCCCGTATCTACCGTAGGGACTTTTGTTACGCTATTTCAAACTTTGGGAAGGGGCCTTGCCCCCTAGTCTTTACCCCTTCAATTGTATAGCACCTCCAACAGGGCGGTAGCAATCGGCCTCCATGGGGTTTGAAGCAAATCAGAGTAAAAGAGCAAAAGGAAGGGGGGGGGGGGGGGGCGGGTGGGTTGGTTGGTGGCTTGGGCTCGCGTGGGCATTGCCTGAGCTTGCCGCTCGCTACCTGGCAAAGCGCTCGCTGCCTGGGTACTGGTACTGTAGAGCGCTTGCTACGTGGTGCATCTGAGTGCATCGCGCATCTGGATGCCCGCTGGACCATGTAGCCGTGTGCATGGTAGAGTGGTGAGGTAGCACCGAGGCAGCTGCAGGAATCCCAGATCGCTGGGCTTGCCCAAGGTAGGGGCTGACTCGGCGCCTCAGCTGGCCCAGCCAGGCGCGCCGTCCCCCAGGGCCAGGGACCGATAGACGCCCCTTTGGTGGGCAGAAAAAAACACCCCAAGTCCCCATGTTGAAGAGCAGCCGGTGGATCACTTTTGCGGTCCGTCATTACACTGGTGCAGCCTCTAGGTGCATATGCATCCCAAGATTGGGAGTCTTGTCCCCGACTGGGTGGACATGCGTACGAGGTTCGCAAGGCCGCAAAACCCAGAGGGGGGATTCCATAGCAGGCACGGTCCCGGAGACGGCGGGAAGGTAGCGCGCTCACCGGAAAAATGTGGTGACGACGACATTGTCGTCGAATATTGGATTTCGTTTTGTGATATTAGGTGTCCAGAAAGTAGATCCCAGCAAGGCGATCGGGGCTGGCAAGCTGGGTGAGGGAAGAGAGAAAGCGTGTGACAGAGAGGGGCGTGCCTCGTGATTGGGACTGTGACTCCCGAATGTGGGCTTTGCGCCGTCAGGGGTCGTTACCTGGAAGAGGTGGAGGAGGTGTGGGATTTTTTTTTATCGATTTCCTGACAGATGCTTTGCATGACGGACTTGGAGGTGACGCCTTGGTGTATTCTTTCTTTTTTTGCGTGTGTTCCGGGGTTGGGGATGGCATGACTGTGACGAGGAGGTTTGGTCATGAGGCAGCATCATTCATGCGGTTGCTATACTTTTCCAGACTTCGAGGATTCAGAGAGCTCCGGGATTCAGAGAGCTCCAGGATTCAGAGAGCTCCAGGATTCAGAGAGCTCCAGGATTCAGAGAGCTCCAGGATTCAGAGAGCCTCCAGGAGTTCAGAGAACCCGAGGTCAATACCCAAGGTACAGACAGAGGATGTAGCCCCTTCATTCCATCGCCGGCAGCCAGTGCGATGGTTGGGCATCACCCCACTTGCGAAATATGCGGCGCACCCTGCCTCGTCTACCCCTTCCCCCGATGACGGTCTACCGTGCATGTCCCCTTGTCGTCCATCCCCCGTCGAAGAGACGATCACCTCGTTGTCCATGCTCCTTGCCTGGGGGAAGGCAGAGGCGAAGACAGACAGGAGACAGCAGGGTTCCTCGGCACCCTCCACGTCGGCACCTGAGCCCGAGACCTATGCTGATCCCAGCTCGGTGGCCTTCACCTGTGGACTTTTGACTGTGGACTTTTGACTGTGGACTTTTGACTGTGGATGATCAGACGAAGACATGCACACCTCTCTGCATGGCGAGACAACCACGCGCTGGCACCAGAACAGGTCGGATCACCGCTTTCCCACGCCTGCCACGCTACAGACACACAGACACACAGACGCGCACACGTCTTCAGGTCGGTTAGCATCAATGTCCATTTGGCTGGCTAGTCGAAGCACCACAAAAAAATCCGATAGAGCACCTACGAGCACCCGCTAGCAAGCGCCCGGCTCCCGTCCCATCCCGCCCCTCCCCTCCCGGCCCACCCGCTGGCTCTCCCGTCAGGGGGGTGGTCCCAAGCAAGCCAAGCAAGGCCAAAGGGGAATGAACAGCGGGGCCGTACCCCTCTGGGTACATGGTAGACATGGTGGGTAGGTAGGTACTGTACGTAGGCAAAGACTGGCGCAGAGGGCAAAAGTCGGAGACACAGGGAGGGGATAGTATGAGGAACGAAGAGAGGGGGAAGAACATGACATGGCAGCAGACACACAACTCTCTCTCTCTTCTCTGTCTCGAAAAAAAAAAACGAAAAAGGCCACACGAGACCAGCGAAGCGAGGGACGCGCCGCAACGCCTCGTCTCTCACTACTTGACTCGTCGTACGCTGTTCGTCTCGCCAACCTGACCGTCCAGAACTCCAGATGACTCGGCGTCGTCTTTTCGAGGTGCGCGCCTCCAAGATGGCCCCGTCCCGTGTGCGGCTGGGGCATGCAACCAACTCGGCCAGACACTGCGGCGATGTTCGCTGCTGCTGCTACACTACAGTACGCGAACAGGATCTGAGGTCCATGCAGTGGCTCCATGCAGAGTGGACAAGAGAGTGGACAAGCAAGACGAGGTCCCTGGTACAGACCCGTTCAAGTCAGAAGCAGGTACAGCGCTTACCATGTAGTACAGTACTGGTGCCCCCCTGCTCTGCAGCGCAGCGGATGCTCTCTGCATTCTAGAAGTCTTCTGCCACTGCTACCCTGCCAGCCTGCCAGCCTGCCAGCCTGCCTAGCCTCCCTCGGAACCCCGCAGGACCCCCTTTTGCGCGCGTTTCAGGCGTCTTTTCCGCATGTCTCGTGGTGCCTCTCTCCGACGCAGGGCATCTTGCCTTTTCGCAGCGTTGCACTAGGGGTCTGCAGGTCGAAGGGCGCCAAAGCAGAGAGGCCGCACATGGGAAGCAAGCCAGAGTGCAGCCAGAGGGCAGCCAGAGTGCAGCCAGAGGGCAGCCAGAGTGCAGCCAGAGGGCAAGGCAAGGTCGCTCACCGATGGAGCCAAGGAGCTCACCGATGGAGCCAAGGAGCTCACCGACCGCGACACCCATCATCCACGATCGACCAGCGGCTGCCGTGCTGGGGTGACATGCGCACGAACCCTCCACCGCTTCCATGTCTCACATTTTTCTCTACTTTTTCTGTCAGTCCGTCTATCACCGGAAGAACAACCCAAGAACCAGCCCGCCATCACCGGCCCAGCCAGCCCGCCCACCGGCCCGCTGAGATGAGGCGTTCATGCAAGTCGCGGCCCTGCCAAAGTCTCGCCGCGACGCTCGCCATCCTACTGCACTCCCACCCTGCCCTGCCACCACACAGCGTCACAGGCGTCACGCGATAAGGGGCGCATCAAGGCCGGCGCGCGGATCGCCCGTCCTGACAGGTCGAGGAAACAAAGAAGCACGCGGGACGCCGGGGTTCGAGGGTCGGGCGTTTCTCCGTTGGCCGCGCATCATACATGGCACTGTTCGTCCCATGAAACAGGGACACATGCTTCGGCGACATGCTTCGTCGACATGCTTCGTCGACATGCAAAGGGCAGACCGGTGATGCTGACGCACATCCAGACCATTTCTCTCGGGCG